TTCTTTTCTGCAAGCCCTGGAAATACACAGGCTTGTCCTAATTAGAAGTAGTACTTCCCTATGCAATACAAATTTAGTTTACAGATTTCATTTGTAGACTAGGCCCAGTTAATATTAAATTGGCACTACTTTTCATCTTGGCTGCAAGGTCATGCAGAAAAATAAAATAAAGATGCAAGCCATTGAAGGTCCACAGAGTACTCTCCTGTGTCTAAATATTATTTAAATACATATTATTATTTATTTTTCAGATGACAGCAAGCTGATAATCAGAGAAGGTCTAAGGGGAAAAAAACCCAAAAAACTGGACTCACACTTCAGTAAGAAGAAAGACAAGATTTTCTGGAAAATGAACACCTTACTAGGCAACAGTTACACAGATGAGACCTGGGGGCAGTTAGAACAGACGCTGAATATGCCAACACCATACTGTTATGCCAGGATATATAAGCAGAAACAGAACTTGAATGGCACACAAATCTCCCATGCTACTGCTTAGAATTCAACAGCTGGAATACTCTATCCCGTTTTGGACAATGCCCTTCAAATTTAATCAAGTATATGAACTTAATGGAGTGAGACTAGATGAGAGGATCAATAAAGATCAGAGCTTATATGCATAATATATTGAAAAATATTAAAATAATTGGGAATGTATGTTTTAAAGGAGAGCAGACCTGATTAAAAAAAAAAAAGACAAACATGCTAAAAAAAAAGTCTGCTGAAAAGAAAAATTGTTCCTCAAGCCATATAAAGCTGTGACTACAAATGGATTCAAATTACAGGAGAGGATTCAAGTACATTTTCCTTACAGTTATACAGTCTTTCTCAATAACTAAGTTGTTGGAGGTAGAACAGTCTCCCAACACACCAGTAACGTCTTCAAGAAGAAGCTGCACAAAGGCATCTCAGATTCCCTCACTCTGGTTTGATGCATGCGAATAAACACAAAACGAATGTTCTAGCCTGTTTTCCTATGACTCATTAATTCAGCTCTCAAAACTTAAGAGCTGAAAATTCAGTGTTTCCAAATTTGCCGCTAACAGATTATTATGCCTTGTTAGCTTATCCTCAGGCCTCAAGAAACACGAATATATATACTTCTCCAGATAGGTGCAAAAAGAGTAATGCCAATAAACACATTAAGCAAGATAAAGTGTTTCTTATATCATTACCTGCAAAACAGACAATTGAAAATCTAGCTGCTTATCTATGAAACACAGGATCAAAAAGAAGCACAACTCTGCCTACATTAACAAACACATTCCATCTGTTTTCCTCACCTGTCCTTCCTCGGGGACAAGGTTGGTATGCTGCACTAAGGGAAAAGCTTACCAGAAACGTGATCTTTAACAGAGAAATCAGCATCAAGCTCCGCGAAGCTAGTGCATCTCATCTGCCTCTGTTTTCCATCTATTTTTTAAAGCATTATCTGAAACAAAAGCACGTAGATGAGGAGTAGCAGCACTAGTTTAACCACACAACGAAGTTTTGCTGAAGAGACTGGTGACCTGAAACTGACCTACCCCAAACGTTGCTACAATTTCGCTCCTTCCTTTAAACAAAACCCTCTTAAAAACAGTTAAAGCAACTAACGAAGCGGCTCCAACTGACGGTAGATCGGCACACAACCGCAGGCAGCTTTTCCACATCGGCAAGCGGGGTCCCTGCAGGGCCGCGGCGGCTCGGCTCAGCGCTACCCGCGGCCGCCCGAGCGGGCATCGCCCGAGCCCAGCACCGGCAGTGCCCGGGGACTGCGCCGCGCCGCATCGCGCCGTGCTGCCGGTAGCGGGCGAGGGCAGATGAGGAAAAGCCGGAAAAACCTTACAGAAACATCCACCACAAGCACATCACCTCCAGCCCACTCGTGGCTGCCGTCGCGTAAACGCTTCCGCCCGGATGGCGCTCGGACGCCGGGAAGCCCGGAAACGTGGGCAGGAGCTTTAAGTTCCCATGCTCGATGCGGTCTCGCCGCCTGCTGCGGACACCGGGGAGCGGCTGGCCTGACCGAAACGTGGGTACCTCAGTTCGCGAGGGTACCCTCATCCTGCGTCTGAAACCTTCGCTGATGTGACACCTCTGATGGGTTGGAACTAAATCTCCAAGGTCCCTTTCTGAGTGAAACCATTCTATGATTCTCTGGAATTACACTGTCACACAACCAAGTGGACAAACATGCCAAAGCTTGTAGCCCAGGAGGTTGGGAGGTAACACTGTCTAGAAAGATCTCCAATAGCTTGTGCACACACCAGTAATAATTTTTTTTTTTTTTCAGAGCCTCTCTTCTGCAAGAGAGGGGCCATGGAAATAGAGTAGCTCATGGGCAGAAGAAGGTGGCTGGAAATGCCAGGGACAATGGCAGGGCCATCAGCTGCTGCCTGGCTGTGGCTGTCCTCAGGTCTTCCAGGCAAAGGCCAAAAATTGCCAGAAAAAGGCAAAAACTATTTCAGAAAGGAACATGCAGATGGTGTAGCAGAGAATAAGAGATTTGCCACAGAAGTCTGTTAATAATTAATAGAATGCAAGGATATGGATGAGGCTGATGGTGTGCTCAGACTGCTGATTATTATGCTGATGGGCACTGTTCTGCTCTACTTCCCTCTATCTGCCTGCCTTCTCCATCCTTCTGCCTAAACTGTATGTAACCTCTTTGGGACAGACATTCCAAAATACAGACACATATTTACCTTCATAGCAAATATGGGTGGGGGCCACATTTCCACTTACGTTGTTCCCACATATGTAGCGCCAAGGGTGACTGCACAACATCTCTTTGCAAAAGAGAGAATGGACGTTTTTGTACAGTGCATAGTATAAGAGGGTCCTGGGCTATGGCAGAGTTTTAAAATAATGGAATAATGATAAAAGGGCATCCAGAATGGTTCTGATATGGTGTGACAAAAGGTTCCACACGGTGAGCATTTGTCTTTGCAGGATTCAAGAAATAACTGGATATTTATCTAGAAAGCAGCAATATCCAGCAGATAAATAAGTAAAAAATCAAGTAAATGAGGCAGATTGGAAATGACATAAAGATTCATGTTTCAGAACAAAAAATAAAAATAAAAAATAAAAATCCACTCAGACTAATGGCATTGTGAAGAGTCTTTCCATCTGGACCAGTGACTTCACATGTGATTTTCAGTTTCTTTAGCCAAACTGTAGGTAAAAGAATACAAGGTGTTGGAAATGTAATCTAGTAGAGACAGACCATTTATCTTACGTGCTGTGACATTTCAGTCCTGGTAATATTTACTCTTCTCAAGTTTAACAACCAGAGGACTTCCCCCTTCTCCAGTGTGGTAAAGGCATGGTCAACAAAAGCACATACCAGACAAGCTTGCATCCATAGAGGGTCATGGCCCCTAGCACTGACTTTTTTGTGAACAGCAGCCATGTATTTCTTTTCCCAGTCTCAGAATTGGGCTGTATACAAAACCTATGTATATACATAAATATTTGTCAATGAAAATAACACCATTCGGACCTTGGAGCATACAGCTTAAATAGTACAAACCACTGCAGTTTACTGCCATATGAGTAAATGATATTAAAACACAGAATTTGATTATTATTCCCTCTTTGGGTAGAAGACATGCCTAATCACCTCTACCTCCTTGTTGCTGAAAACAGATGTCTTGTTGCTAAAAAATATATAATAATAATACTAGTTGGCTACTCATGGATTCTATATACAGTAATGAAAAAGAAGATGACAGCATTTACAGGCTTAAGCATAAAGTACTTTTGCAGGCTCCAGTGTTTGATAAATAAATAAAGCAGGGACATACTGAAGTAGTCTGTGTGATTGCTATCTAATTTGGCATTTGAGAATTTAAGTAAATCTGACTCTGGTGATAACTATAGTGTCACATGAAAGATTTTTCTATTACTCTTCTATTTTCCCAAGGAAAATATAATAAAAAAACCAACCAACCAAACAAACAAAAAACTTTCTAAACTGGTAAAACTGGACAATGCTATAGTTTTGCTATCTAGAACTGAATTTGAGATCTTGGATGCTGAATTATCTCTTCCTTTCTGAATGAAAGCTACCCCTTAGTTGCAACAGCAAAATAAGCTATGTAATCCTTTTATCTTACCATAAATCCATATTTCTTCATTTCTTATAGAATGTACAATGTTTAGGAAAGGAATTAGCATCTCGGATTGAATTACTGTTAGTAAAAAATGATTGATTGCTTCCTCTGTTGATGTACACTACAGTATATTGATATGAAAATAATTTTCAATTCTTTTTAAGTTTTAGGAATTATAAGATTTTACCTTAAAGTATTGTAAAGATGCCTCTGCAAACTGACAGTTGGTAATTCAATTATGTGAGTTGCAGGGACAGTCTGTGAGTTAACTGTGACACATTACCATTAATATTTTGTCTGCTTTTTAGAGGTGTTCCGTACATTAAACATGTGCTGTATATGCAATGTGTTACAGTTATTTCCCTGGTGTTATTTTCATTGAATTTTAGATTAAATAGGCACATAACACGGTAAATAATTTGCTAATGTGTCAATTAATGCCACCTCAGGGCTGAAATAAATTGCAAAGACTTTTAAAACTGTGACTACACATTTTGTGCTAGTCTTAGCTTTCTTCCTTCCTCTGTTTTCCTATTTCCTGCTTTTTTTTTTTTTCCTTCCCCCGCCCTCCCTCTATCCCCCCAACCAAATAGTCCATCTTAGAGTCCTCTAGTGCATAACAATGAATTGCCTTGAGGGGAAATAGTTGTTTAATGAATCTGGAAATATGTATTCAACACGTGCAAGTATCGTATTGTATTTGATTAAGCAGTGTGTATGGCAAAAGCTCTAAAAATTCTTTGTACTCCAAAAAAGGCAAATTTTAATAACATTTTCAAGAAAAGTAAACTTTATTCATCCAGACTTGTAAGCAGCTAGATCAACATATTCAAAATATCAGTTTTAAAAGAATATGATGAATTTTTTAAAAAACAACAATTTAGTTCTGTAACATGTAAACGTAATTCTATAAGATATAATTTTGTCTAAATACAGTCACTTCTATCAGCTTTTTTTCCTTGTCTAAAAATATATTTTACTTTAGCAGTATATTTCAATTCAGATTTCATATCTACTATGTTATATTTAAAACCAATACAAAACTGTTAATTTTGACTGTCATTTGTTGGGTAAAACCTCCCAGTTTGGTAGCTTACATCCGTTATCTCTAGGATTCCTTAAGCATCACTGCCTTGAAATGAATTGTAGGCTCTATCAATTATATCTGTTTAGATGGACAAATTTAATTACTACAAAAGAGCAATTGATTTTCAAATTACCACTGATTGCATAGTAGATATCTCAGTGGGAAGACAGGTACATACAGACTCTCAAATGGAATCAATGTATTAATTAATCTACAGATTGACATACTCCATAGAATGTTTCCTTTCTCTTCACTTCCTTCCTGTAGGTATGTTTGTTTCCATTTAAAAGGAATCTCTTGATGATCTAGAAGTGAAAAAATAAGATATAAAGTTGCATGTGCTGTGTATAATATCTAAATTTTTTATTCTGACTTAGCTTAATCACTTGCTAAGAAAGCTAAAAATATTTATATTATACCTTCCTGGGGTCTGTTTGGTAACTTCATTCAAAGTCTTGTCTCTGTAAGTCAAAATCTGAAACCATGTTATCAGAAAGGGTCAGGCTTTGGTCCTGCAAAATCACAAAATAATTTTCTGGTCCACTGATGAAGTCCAAATCTACATGTGGCATTTGTTATAAAACCATTCTCTTTTCTTTAGTAACAAATCAATAATTTCAGAAAACTAATCAGAGTTTATTAACTGTACAGGTACAGACAATGAACAGACAGAGCAGACAATCCAAACAACTGCAAGTCATCTGGCAAGAGACCAATGCAATGCACAGAAAGATTAGAAACCAAAGCATCAATCCAAAAGAAGACTGACAGGTAAATAGTTCATTTTATCCCGTTACTTTTCTTAGTACTTTTTGAGAACCTAATAACCACAAATAAATGTTTCTGGTTTAAGAGTTAGAGACAAAGCACACACACAGTAGCAGAAAATATCTAATTTTTGAGAGGAATGAATGATTAACTTAGAACATACCACCATAGCTACCTACTAATCAGTGATAGTCAGAGATGTTGGCCAATTTACAAGATTTACTGCTGTTCACTGCAGTCCTGCAGTCCCTATGTTGCTTTCTGAGAAGACTATAGTGTTTCTCTCAGTTCTGCTCAATGTGCGCTGAGCCGTGTCTTCATTTATGTTTTTAGCGTCTTTGCTTTACAATCACAATACAACTTCAGAAACTTTTTCAGCATTTATATTAATCACAGTAAAGAACAGCAGGTCTTTAAAATTTTCTTTATGTCATCTACAAGCATTTTGAAAATGACACTGTTTAAGAAAGTTAAAAAAAAAATAAATAAAGATGAGATGAGATGATTATGGTTGTTGCGGTTTTTCAACAGGCTCATTGCAAGAACTGAGAGACGTGAGAGAAAATGTGTACTGCCACATAACTTGCCTGACTACTTCAGCATCATAGTTGGCAACTTTTATAAACACTGGGATCTTCATATTTTAATCTTAATGTTTATGAAATACATACAGCAAACAGCATCAGTTAATCCTGGTTTACTTTACTTGCATGCGTTGTTAACTACTTTCCTGTAGTACTACCAGCATGTGACAAGAGAGTTAATGGATGAGATTCAGTTGTTTCTAAATTCAGTCGCACCCTTTGCACTTGAAGCATGAGAGTTGTGTCAGCTCTTCCATTATAAGCTCTTGTTTGCCAGGGTTTATTTCACAACAAAAAAAAAGCACTTCTGCCATAGTCTTGCTACCCAAGATAAGTCTAAGGAATACTAGTCTAGGAAAACTAGTCTAAGGAATAGTCGAATTATGCATAATTAGAATTATGTATTTCCATACATTGCAACAAGGTTAATAAATTCTGAAACATAGTAGACAAATCAAGGGTTCCTTAGTATTCCTTCCTTTATGACCAATTCTCTTTTTCTTCTACCTCTCTTTCACACTTAGTGGGCAGAACTTTTCAGATATTATTATCTCCAAGAAGATCTACTTACTTGATGAAAAGAATAATCAGGTAAAAAGAAACATTACCTGTTACTAACTATTCCCAGGCATAGAATCATAGATTCCTTTAAAATATGAAGAGCTTATGTAATTCATATTGCATTAGTTTGCATGCTATAAAATTATGATTATAACTATCAGGAAAACTTTTAGTGTATTTCAAGTTCATAATATAAAGCCCTTATTCTTCATTTTCTTATATGTTAGGAAGTTATCAAAACTAATGAAAAGGTCAGTCACATTAGGGGAAGAAGTCATGGACTGCTTAAGGAAATCAGCTTTTTAGCAGGAAATTCTGGTTCACTAAAATTGTGTTTTTGTGAGCTATCTCCTGTCAAAGTAAACCCCCACCATAACCTGAACAAATAAATAGCTTAGGCACTGATAGGAAATGTGGAAAATCTCAGTTCACATCTGTGCTTTTATTCTGGTGAAACTTTAGTTTAAATCCTTGTGTACCTGTGTGTGTAGGTGTAGCTGTCTCCATAGAATAAATTAGCCAGCCCACACTCACCTTAGGAAAATGAATAAAAATAAATGGTAGTCTGAATTCAGTTTATCAATTTTGATCAGAAATACAAGTGGGAGAAAAGTGATGGATTTGCACTGTATGTTTGAGCTTCAGGATAGATCCTTTAGAAAAGAAAAAGCTAAACTTTCCCTCTGCCTAAAATATAGTTGTCTCATGCTTAGATTTCAGTTAAAGTGGCTTAAGCACATCATGTCTTTAGACAAGTTCACCTTCAAATATGGATAGTATGATGAAAACAGCAACCTGAGATTTTGAAAACCTCTTGCTTCAGTTACTGATGATGATACAGTGAGAAATACAGAGAACTTAGGAAATCACTTGGGATTAATATTTCAGTAGGGAACATGAAAGATTAGTTTGAAATTAAAGGCACTTTCCATATCTCTAATATAATTGAAGCAAGGAAAACAGTTGGTGAACGTCACTCACTTTTTAGACATGTCACAGCTGTCCACATGCTTGCCACATCTGCCTATTCAATTTTTAGAGTTTTTCATATGAATATCAATCCTCCTTTTCATAAATGTAACCTATAAATGCCAGGAATCCCTTAGGAGTTTTCTCAGACTTTATTTAATGCCCCACAAGAAGAGATGTAAAAGAGGCCTTTCTTTTATAAAGTGATCTTATAATTCTGTTCAATATCCATCATTTTCAAGGCCAAGTAATCATATTTAATGGATCCTAAATTACTTTCTGTCAGGCAAGTGTTCCCTTGATAATGTTAACCAGTTCAGAGGACTGGCACTTAGAGGGTTGAAACTATGAGGATGTTGGTTTTTTGTTTGTTTTGCATTTTTTTTTTATTTTTATTTTTTAATTGCAAGCAGCTTACAGATACTTTGACTGGGGTGGCATACACTAGCATTTCAATAGGTAAGGGTCAATGTTCCCATTTTTAACTGTATTTTCATGGGTTTTAGCCTGGCAATAAATATTCCAGTTGTTTTCCATCAAAAAGAAGTGCCTAAGGTGACTCGCAAAAGACTTCTATCCTTTTCTGTTTGTCTTCTATTTTTTCTCTCATTTGTATGTGTATTAAGCCTAGATTTCTTAACACAGAAACAAGTTTTTGGGAAGCAGTAGAATCAGAATCCTCTGTCAGGTCGGGTAGCAAGAGCCAAGGCGACCCAAGGTAAATGTTTAACCTCAACAGCACTGACAAAGGGGCAGTCCCACAGTACCCAAAGAAGAGCAGAGCAAGTCTGGTGATTGTTATGAGGGCCAGCCCTCAGTTCAGGGATTGACAGACAAATCTGTGGTGATGAGACAGGTCCAAATCCTAGCTGGGCTTGTCCAAGTCAAGTCAGTGGGTTGCGACAAATTTGAATAAATGATACACTGTCAGGCATGGGATCCTTGACAGGGATACTGATCCAAGAGCAAGGACACTGGTTTGAACACAGCTTCTGACAAGGAGGAAACCACTCCCCTTCTTCCAGCTATTTCTCATACTACTCTGCTCTCAGTAGCTTGAATCCAGCTTGTGCAGCTGCACTGTATTCTGTGCTAACTAAAGCATAGACAGTCAAATCCCTTGCAGCCAAATCCCATGGGGCTGCACTCGGTACTGATAAATGTCTACAGTTTTTTCCTACCTCTACCTTTGTTACTTTTTTCACATTAATCAGTTTTTTATGTTGAAACATCTTAAGAGTCAAGATGAGGAGAGTGGCATCTAGTCTTTCATTTTAATTTAAGGTTTGTGTAGAAGAAAGTTGTTGAGCTGTGGGAGAGCTGGCTGGATTGTGCCCTAAGTAGTGTCTAGAATCTTATGCAGAGAGGTTTCACTAATCAAAAGTTACAGCATTGATATTTTAACAATGACAATCTTTTTCCAATTATTCAGTGGACATTTAAGTTGAACAAATATTTAATAAAAGCCAATTTAAACCCTCAGACAACCATTATCAAAATTCTTTCCATCTTACTTGTTTATCTTTCAGGAGGAGATGAGATGGAGATTTCAGGTTTTGAAAACATGGACTACAAAGGCTTTGAATAATACATATATGATTTGCTGTGGAGTGAAATGGGAAATCATTTGTTATAACTACTGTACAATTGACACCAGTAGTAATGAGGAACAGATCTGCTCTGCAATGCTGGAATTTAGCAGCAAAAATAGGCTATACTGAAAACCTAGTGTTACCAATATACTTTTTAAAGAGTGTCTTATGGGCTCTAAAGATCTAAAGATTTGGGTAATGTTTCTCAGTTTGTTGGCACAAAAAATTCTATTTTTACTATGGATCAATCATTTAAAAACCAATCTTGTTCCATTATTTACTCCCAAGAGTGAGGTAAATGCCTTTCAATCTGATAGAAATCATCTTCCACACAGAAATGGAATAGTACAAAGGAAAATATGACTTTCAGACTTCCCCTGTACTTTGGTTACTTTTTGAAACATGGAGAAAGCGAATCTTCCCCTGATCAAAATAAGCTTTAAAATAAAATTAGTTATTACTTCTCAAGTGTTGAAACGCTGGTGACATCCAGTGGCACACAATGTCTGTAAATGAATATTCCTGCTATCCAGAGAAAGCGCTTCTGTTGTTTCTCCTGGAGTCACATTCTGCAGGTGTAGCTAAGAGTGGAAGAAATCAATTTAATGTGAACAATTTTTCAATATTTTTGCATTCGTATAAATTAAATAACAAGCAAAACATCCAATAAAGAAAAAGCAATTTGAGCCACAAACAGCAAAGATTTCCTTGGAGACAGGAGAAACAAGGCAGTGAGCAAAAATTTGTGTAAGAAATAACTCAAAAATCTTCTCTTAAGAAAATGTGCTTAGTCACATTCTTTCCATGAAAATTTACAAGTCTTCTGCAAGTGATGATTTAGTGTATAGGCCTTGGATGGGAAAGGCACTCATTTCTGTTTTGTCTGATTTGGAAAGATTAAAATTCAATAAATTAAGTAGGAAAAAGGTTATTTTTACTTTCATATATTAGACTAGTACCCTCACTAGCAGGAGAATGACTTCCCAAATGAAAAGGAGAACAAGTGAAAAAATTGCTACAGAAAGGGGAATAATTCTTACATATGCAGCTATGTTCTGCTGTACTTTCTTCTGCTCTGCGTTTTCCAGTTTTTGGTACTTGAAGTTCAGTCCATTTCATACACATTTTCTAGAATAAAATCAATATGCAACTCTAATCTGAGCTATAACTAGCTGTTACACTGAGCAAAAAAAAAAAAAATTGTACACTGAACTACTTAACTAAATAAATGATTTAGTTAAGTAAGTCAATGATGCTGAAAAGTAAGTCTTCATTAATAGACATCACTGAAAGAGCAAAGAAAGCAGAATGAATCATCAGTCCATTGCCTTTAATAATAAAGTTAAAGAAAAAAGTACTGAATTATTAAGAACATTGTGAACGGGAAAGAAAAAGAGCAAACATCATCAAGAGTGCCAGTATGCAGAATGATGAGCAACTGGATACTTTGGCTGCTCTGGAGGGTTTCGTTTTTCTTTTCATTTTTTTAACTCTGAGAACTGACAATCATTTAGTCCTTGATTCTCCACCTAGAAAAATCACAGACATCTTCCCTCATTTTCAAATAAATCAATGATTCATGTGATTTACATATAAAAGTAGATTTGTGACTGAATCTGGAGGAGGCCCCTGAAGTAGTATTAAAATCAAGTCCCGTTCCTGCTGAGGTTAATAGCAAGAATCAGACAGACTCTAATGAGGACAGAAAGAACCTCCAGGATTTTGATGTTAGGACAAGAGAGTGACTTTTATATATATTGTTCCCTACACATAATCTTACACTGTACTTAAATGGGAAAGTTTTCTTTTATGCTGGACTGGATTTTCTCATACAAATGATCAGATTCAGCTCTCTGGGTATAGAATCCCTAAGAAATTATACATTTGGATTTAAATTTGCAGCTCTTCAAAAGAAAGGAGAGCTAAGGTAAGTAATTACTCATGATAACTGTACATAAAGATTTTTTCAGAATCAACTGGTCATCTATGTGCTTTTTACATGCCATTAAAACATAATGAGTAGGTATGCTGTGGATTCTATTTTAATTTGATAAGTTGTTAACTTTTATTTTGTTTGAATTGGACATTCTAATAGTAAGAATAACTTTACTGTCTGTATTACAGTCTTTGATTATTATTATTACTAAATTCTAAGACATAAAAATCTTAATTTTCTGGCTCAGCGAAGAAAGTTTTCCTAATTCTGTGTTCTAAGATACCTAAACACCTGCTTTGGGTGTTTTAGGGAGCATCCAGTCCCCAGTAACATGCCCTGTACAAAGATGTCCGATGCACTTAAATCCACAAATCAAAAATTTGGTTTCACCCAAATCAGGTGAGGAAACTGAAAACTATAGTAAACAGAATAATCAGAACCTCATTTACTTATGTTGTGGCATCTCTGTTTCCCCTCTAAAAACACTTTTGACAAAGGGCCTTTACAAGCAATGTATTATTGGGCATGCATAATATTCTAACTAAATAAATTGTAATGAAAGATGGTAGAATTCATGCACTTGGAGGACATTTTACTTCATCTAATAAAAACATGACTTCAGGGGTAACATTACAGAATTTTTTCTTTTTCTGTTTTTCTTTTGGCAAATCCTTCTGTTATGGGAATAATCATCTGTCTAGAGATGTGGCTCCTAACTGAAAGGCATCAGGACTTCTCCCTGTGACTATGATAGTCACTAAATCAATGCTTTAGGAGAAGCTTTCCAGCTTTTCTAGTAATTCTGAAAGTGGAAAATGTTTTGAACTTTCTCTAATAGCCTGCTGTGGACTGTAGGGAGTGATGATAATGATGAGTCAATAGTTAACTCAGGTAGTAGAGGTTGTAGCTGATCATCACTGAAGATAGTAGTCAGCTATCTTCAAGATATTATTGAAAGAAATCATCTTGATCCTAATAGTAAGTTGATGCTTTGTAGAAAGCCAAGAAAAATGTCTAAGGGAAGTTGTATGTCCAGCGATAGACCTGCTCAGTCTCTGATCTTTCGAAGTCTTCAATTATCTTGTGGGCTGTGAGACCAAGTGAAAGTTATCTGAATAGTAGCCTGGTCTAGTGTGGTTGGTGACCTTGCCCACAGCAGGGGAGTTGAAATTAGATGATCTTTGAGGTCCTTTTCAATCTAGGCCATTCCATGGTTCTATTTGTTCAACGTTCGTATGAACAAATAGCAGATTCAACTTTCAGAATTAATATGCTTTAGGGGTAATTTATACACACCAGACACCACATTACATGAAAGGTAATTTTTATGGGGAGATAATAGAGGGGCTACAGCATCTTCTCTGCCACCTCAGAGCCAGCTGATTCAAGATTAAAACTGCGTGCTTATCAGACTTATCATTTAACCCAAAAGAAAGCTGACAGCTTCATCTAATAAGTCCTAATAATTCATCTAATAAAAGATGAGCATTCTCCTCCTGGAGCCAGACACATGGCTTTTGGCAGTTACAACTGAATCAAAACTTGGGCACTCAGGAGTCTCTATCAGCTCTTCTCACTAAGTGTTTCATTATTTGCAAAAGTGTGAGCTTCCCAGGGCCTGTGCTCAATGGTATTGTTTCTTCTATAACATTTGATTTAAAAAACAAACAAACAAACCAGAACAACCATATTTGCTAAAACTTACCACAATTACTTGATCTAGTTGGCTCTGCACTGTAGTGTTTTTCACTTACAGTCTGTATACAGTGATAATAATGAACCGCGGTATCATATGGATTCAGTTTTTTTCATTTTAATTAGGTGTCCACCAAATGCAGGCAAAGCATAACAGATATCCATGACAAAAAGGCAATAATCTAAGACTTTGAAGTGTTTTCGCAATTCCAAATGCTCTCTAGAAAACAGGTATGCATAATTGAGGCTTGATTTATCACCTCTGTAGTACTGTCAGGGAAAAAACATTCTAGAAAACAGCTAGCAAGGCTGTGAATGTGTGTGTGTGCGCGCGCATGTTGAAGCTATGTGTTGTAAAAAGCCCTCTGATTCCTCTAAGGGAAAGTTGATGTATAGCAAACCATATGCAGACAGACAAAAATTGAACAACAGACATTAGACTGTTATTGGACAAATTCCTATACTGTTGTTAGTCTTGCAATCCATGACTTAATTTCTATACTATGTTTTCTTAAATCAAGATTTTTCAAGACCAGTAGTAGCTTGAGATGTGAATAAACTTCTAGTTAGGAATACAAAAGCTATCCACTGTCATACTAGTGGCTGTGCTGCCTGTGACCCTTCCTGTCATTCTCACTGCAGACTTGAAATTAATGCTGTACTTTAAATATATGAGATTGCTTAAATCACATCAAACCCTCCTCAGGAGAAAGTTAAACAAACAGAGAACCTGTTAACATAACATTTATCAGCACACACACTGGCAGAAACAGTCTCAGAGATTTTAAATAAATCACAGAACTGTTTCCAACTTCTCATATTTCAGAAGATGAAGTATATGGACAGATGACTTGATTAAGTGATAAGAGGCAAGATACTATAAATGTCAGGTTAATAACAAGACATACATGCTCCAGTAAAAATCTACAATGTGATCAGTTTGGCATTCATTATTCATAAATATTTTATAGTATTTACATTTAGTCACTATGTAAAACAACAGTAGCTAAGCCATGCCTGTTCCAGACAAAGCTGAAAGAGTTTGGAGCTATTCCACCAGCCAGTATCACAGTAATTTCCATCTTTTCAATCTGTCTCAAATGGAATAAAACTGTCCAGTCACGCTGTGCAACAATATTTTCCCAAACGCGTATCAACTCTTTTGGAGACCTTTTAATTTGTATTCCACATATTAAAGTGTTTTTCCAGAGGGAGGATGTTGGAAGGAGCTAAAGGGGAAGGAAAAGAATCTTGTCCAAATATTTTACAATTGACTCAACATCCAGTTAAATGCCGAGTCCCTGACAGTTTCTGTGGCTGTATTTCAAGCCCTGATTCCAAAATGTATGCTGCTACAATCCCTGCAGAAGTCCCCACTGGTTGGTAACTCTTACTCCACCTTTGATCAAGTCTCATGTGTTCACTCCAAGCTGTCAGGCAGCCTTGAACCCATGCAGATCAGGCCTGGTGGACCCAGGCTGCAATGGAGAAATAACAATTTTTATTTCTTTCTTTTTATTTTTTATTTTTTGCACAGTATGGTATACTAATTTAAATCTCTCACCCGTCACAACTTTGCTCTTTGTAAGACAGCTTCATTTATGTCTCCACTTCAGCCACTGGGATTACAGGCTATACAATTTCTCAAAAAAAATACTGTTAAGGAACAACATATAGTCTGCCAAAACGTGATTTGTGAAGCTCCCTTCAATTTTGTTAAAATGACATTCCAAGCCCCCTAATGATTTATGCGTTGTTGAGGAAGTAAAAAGCCCCAGCAATCCACAAGTGTTCTAGAACTGTGTGAAGCTCTGAGTAAATAATAGAAAGTAGCTATTTTGTTATGTCTTCTGGGGCTATATGCCAACCCTACCTAGAGTTCAGGGTACAATTCTGTCCTTCTAGTAGTTGAACTAGTTGACAGGAGTTGAACTTTATGATCCTTGTGGATCCCTACAAACTACAAATATTTTGTTCCATTCCTGAAATCGGATCTCACTGATCTGCAAGGCTAACCTGTAATTGTCTTCAAATGCTTCAGGATAATTTAAATTGCAGTTCTACAGAGAAAGGAAGATGGAAGTGTGAAATAAAGAGTCCATGAGCCTGATTCGTGAAAAAGCTACAGACTGTTTACATAGGAAAGAAATGCAAGAAAATCCTTTACAGCGTGCCTATGTGATTTATTAAATTCCTTTTTCCTGTGCAAGTGGTTAAATGCACTTGAAAGGTGTTGAATCCAGAGATGAGACAAAAAAGGCAAAAATAAATGAGGTAGAGCATTGTAGCTTGCTCAAGATTTGTGCTTAGCAGGCAAACAAAAAAGCAACTGTGGTAAATACACAAAAGATTCTTGAGGTTCAATAGACTGCTTTTGAAATGGTCATTGAGGATGAGTGCATGTGTGCTTGGAGTACTCCTATACTGGAGCAAGAAGTACAGCTACATTGGAACATGAAAAATGATGATATGCCACAGTTCTTTGTTTGCTTGCTAGTTTTTAAAGTAATAGGAGTTATTTTTAGAGTAACATAAGTATATTTAAAACCTTGAAATAGCAAAATTGCAGCGCTGAGCTTCATAGTCAAAGATTCACAAAGGCTAAAGATGCAATATGACTAAAATATTCTCTCC